ACTGCTTCTCAGGTATCCCTGTGAAGGACACAATCCTAGTACATAAATAAGAATAACTTGGCTCAGAACCGTGGTGTATACAAGATAATTAAATATAACATTATTGTATGAGTGATAGTTAAAAAACAAAGTCTTTTCAGTGAATTAAAAAAAATAAATTAAACCATGAAAGAAGGGCTTTTAAAGTCATTACCTGGAAACCTTAAAAAACAGTACACTATAGAGCTAAGAGATGTGTATATTAAAGAGTACATTTGAAAAGAAAAGTAAAAGAAGTTGCCTGTAGTTCAGCCATTACAAAAGAAGTATAAACTGTAACAGTAACACATAAAATGAAGAAGAGAAAGACAAGATGGGTAAGCTAATCAGGGATAATTTGTACATGAGAATCAGAATTAAAATCATTCACTACGGCAAATATCTGTAGAATTGAAAACGTGGTACCTTTCCTCTAAATATAGCACTGGGAAGAACTACTGATCTAATACCAATAGCAGGTAAACTGACAGAATAATTGGAAATAAAATGACAGAGTCCCATAGGAAACATGGTCAGATATGGAGAAACCTCATTCCATTCTTCTCCGTTCTCCACATAACGAGTCAGTAATAGGAGAAATACTAGAAATCTATCCTGGAACCTGGAAAAACTGGTTGCAGTCAGCGTAGACACATTCCCGCAATAAAATCTGGATTCTCATCCAGGTTTTATAGCAGCAGGTTCCTGAGGCTACCAGTGACATGTAGGGGACACTAATGATATTTTTAAAATTCAGTGTGTGTGGTGCATTTTTCCTACTTGTCTGGAAGCACTACAAATCAGGGAAAGCTCACATCATCACGTTGCAGCTCACAGTAAGAAAATAATCTGAGACACAGTGCAGGTAAAAGCCACATTAAACCCTTACCTGCTTTAGTTAGCTTTACTAAAAATTCAGAATTAAAAAAGATCATAAAAGGCAATGTTGCACAGATTAATAACCATCAGACTACTTAAAAAGAAATTGTCACCAGGCAGTCGTGACTGAACAGGGACATCAGCAGTGAATTTCTGCAGATTATTGTAAGGATGTACTTGATGTATTGACATTGTAAGGACAACATACTTGATGTTTCCATCAACAGCTTTTGAGTGCTTATAACCAAAAGACTGGCAGTATGGGAAAATGGGGACAGCACAGTTATACATACAAAAATATCTTTTAACACATGGAGAATGAGGAAGGAGAAGCTGCATCTGAAGAGTGGATGATTCTACAGGGAACAAGGCAGAGGCTCACATTGCCTCAGCAAACACCGGCCTGCAGGAAGAAGCTGCAGTGAACAGCGTTAATGAGATGTAAAACCAGCTGAGTAATGACTTCTCATCTCCACTGCCAGGTTTATTTTTTATCCAAGACTGTTTAAAATTAAATGCATAAACAACCTGGAAAGAACACACCTTTTCCCTTGCTCCAAGGTATGTGTTTGAATACTATGCTATAGTTAGCTCCTCCTTTGCTCATTTTCTTCTGGCTCTCCTTTTGCATAATGACAGCTCCAACAGAGGTAGAGAGTGTCTTCTTCCCAGCACATATGTTCTGTTTGGGGGTTAATGCAGCCTTCTGGAGATTTGGGGATGTGAAACTGTATCCCGTCACAGAAGCAAAAGTGTAATTCACATGTTTCACCTCCTGTGAGATCTCTAACCAGAAAATAATTATTCAAAAGGTGACCATCATATTTTCTGTATTTCAGATCAGAAGAACGATCCTGCAAAAAAACACTCAAGTACTTATGTGCAAGCACTGAAGCATGAGCAGATGGCGACAACTACCTGGAGTCCTGACGCAGCCACCGCAGCACTGGAAAGAGACAGGATTTCACACCCTTCCCCAGGGTTAACATTTCCTGCCGCTAGCTCTGGGCTGCTCACCTCCCACAGTAACCTGGTTTTCAGGACATCTACTTAGAAACAGTTCAACTCATCCTATGTGCAGCAACAGAGGTTCCAGGCTTTGGCCCTGGAAGAGTTTTTAGGATATGTTTTAGATAAAGCAAATGATGATGCTTACTACAGAGGTAAATGTGTGCACTTCAGTGGCCTTTGATACATGAGAGAAGAATTTACAATATTTCTTAACTATTAGCTGTTTAATTTCTCTTCTCCTCCATAAGAGAAGCAACATGTAACAAATTTGTTTTAGATCACTGATACTGTATTTTATACCAAAAAAAGTATTACATTATCCCATAAAAGACTAGATCTATTAAAATGAACACATCTTTAACTAAAGCGATTATCCACAATTGTACGGATGGCTACAACTGGAACTTTCCCATATTTAGCTGTCTGCAGTGATTACACTTGAATTGTTAGACTCTAAATAAAAAGAGCTTCTGTATCACTAAATTTCAATGGGATGTATAAGTAATAACTTCTATAATTTTAAAAGTATCCTACCTATTTTATTGTGGTTTTGAAAAGTCATACTATGAAAAGGTGCACTTTTGGGTTTTACCTTTTTCCTAGTCATTACTGACAATCTTTATGCATTTACATAGCTACATGTGAAAATATTACAAGATCAGTTTTAAAGGCACAGCTCACCAAAACTGTAAACTCGCAGCCAAAACCCATTTTTATGTGATGGTGCAATGTTTGGCAATGGTGCCTTGACTCCCTAATTTGGAACTGTAAAGGAACTACTGAAATACCAAGTGTCAAGACTGATACCACTATCAGAAACACTAAACTTGTTACTTCATAAAACGAAGGCAAACCCCACTCCTCTTTGGTCTATAAAACTAAAAATCAAGGAAGTAAAGCTTGTTCCCACAATCAATCTGGATATCTCCCTCTCAACTTCCAAAAAACCCACCCTGGCACTTGCATGAATACTTATCTCAACAAGTGATAACCTAACTTTCCATTTCAATATTCTTACTTCGCTGACCCACTAGTAGAAATATTACAGCATTGTGTTTGTCCAGTAGTAAACAGCAGCTGGTTATCTACTACAGCAAATCTCAGCTGCTGCTCTCTAGGTCAGAAGGGTCTTTTGCCTAAAGTGGAAACCAGGATGCATACCCAGTCTAAAATTAAGATGTATGTCCTCCATCTTCAGTGGTGTGTATATAAGCTGCACTTGTCTTTGTGCCAAGCTCTCTGAGGTACAGACAGATAGAACAAGCCAAGCTAGATTGTGTCCCCTGCTTACTTTGGACAAACGATCACTCTGGTTTCTCCTGAAGTTTTTTTAATGATGGATAACTCACTTCTTGTAAATTGCTGTCTGTGCAGAATTAAATGTCACCTTACAGCAAAATCCTCTTCTCTACAGTCCATTCCTCCTCCAGCTCAACTGTGGAAGAGCAGTAGCTTGGAGAAAGTATTTTTTTCATTTCATAAAAGTGCCAACAGAACAGAAAATGTCACAACTCTCTCCATGCAATCCACTATAATAATTTTAGAAGACTGCAGAGCTGGGTAAGGTTACATTCTTCATTTACAACTGCTTCATCAGGATTTTGGCTCAGTGAAAACTACATTCTGCATAGCCATAAAGGTGCATGATGACCACTTCTGAAAATTGGAACAGTAATAAACTACTACAATTTGAAGGTTAACTTTTAACAATCTTTTAACAAATTGTAGTAGTTTATTACTGTTCCAAGTAAAGAAGCTGCTGTTGGTTAATATTAAGTCTGCCTTCCTAGTTGCAAGAAATGATTCTTGCACATAGTTTTGAAAAAAAATTTAAAAACGTAACACATGGTAACAGCCATTGAGACAGGTTGATAGTAGTCTTTTCACTCATTAGTTCTGAATAACAGCCCTTCCCAACTCAGTCATTAAAAGCACACCATTCTACTGGACTGCTTTGGGTTTTCTCCTGTCCCACCCAAGAAACACAGCAAAAGCACTGTTAAAGAGAATACTGGTGGAAGAGCTTAGCTGTGCTAGTTCTAGTCCAAAATACTTTCTAGCTTTACCACACCTTTAAGTACTTCTCACACCAACTCCATTAGCATTTATTTTTTGCTGAGCTTCTACTTGTCGTTTCCTAGTGATGTAAAGCTGAACTCCCAACTTTTCTCTACATTCACACTGTTTTTCACTTAATTTTGGACACATACAGCAAGCAAGACTTTTAATTTTTTTAATTTACAGTATTGATTGCTCCAAGTTATGCCTTACTGTCAGTACACAGCAAATACATTCATCTGAACAATTCACTTAGTATGAAAAAAAAATGCAGTTAAAACATTAAAAATACTGCTTTACACTGTGCGAAACAGAACCTTCAGAAACCAGTGACATTGGCCACAGCCAGGCACAGAGGAAGACTTTTTCCTTTCAGTCTACCAGTGCATTCATTCCCAAACCCCTTTATCTGAAACTGCCTGTAACCGTAGATTATAGGCGAATGCTTCTGCTGAATTAAGAAGATTTAAGGACTCTCAACTTGGTCTTTAGCACCTGTATTTCCACAACAGAATGTCTTTCTGTTCAATTCACTACACTAAGAATGACTCTTCTCAGCAAATTTACTGAGGAAAAGGTTTCAAGAACATCTCAAAACTGAAGAGGTTTCTGAAGTGGAGTTGTACTCTACCAGTGCATGCAGCTGTCAAAATCTGGATAAATTAGGTAACATGCTTCTCCCCTAGATAATAGAAAAGTGGCTGGGCACAAGTACTATTTGTGATTTGTGAAATGGCAGTTAAGTCAGATGAAATGTATTCTTACTGCAAGCTTTAGGCAGATTAATATACACCTCAACACCTAGCACTGATTACATTTAGAAAAATATTATCTTGGGTTTTTTTAGTCTGTTTTGCTGGGTTTTTTCTTGTTTAAAATCTTTAAAGTAATGTAACAGAAGATGTATGGTGGAAGATGCCAAAAACCACCCCACCTTTAATCTGAAAGGGTTGGGCCACCAAAGCCATTATGCTGTGGACAACTACTCATTTGATTACTTATATATGTTTTTTAAACAACGAAGAGGCGGGAAATGTTGATTTATTTTTTTTAATTCTCTGATCAATAATGACTGAACATTCTAGCCATTTAAATCAACCCAATTACATAATTTCCATTAAGTTAATGGCTGCCAAACAAGCATGTACTCCAGTGACCCACCAGAAGCAACCTTATCTGATGGGTGAGACAGATTTTAAGGTTAGACACAGTACATGTAAAAATAGAAAGTTTAAAAACCAATCTCATCACAGACATTTCCATTGCCATCTCCTTTGTGAAATAAATAAGGCAGCAGATAACTTTTACTTTGCAGTGGCATCTTTGAGGTATGCTATTAAGTCTGCTCTCTCAGACTTCTTCTTAATACCCGCAAAAATCATCTTTGTTCCTGGGATATACTTCTTTGGATTTTCCAAATACTCCATCAGAGTATCCTCACCCCAGGTGATACCTAGAGAGAAAAAAAAATAGCGACATCAAAATAACAAACACGTTTATATTCTCATTCTCCATATTATGTTATTTTTTGGGCAGATTTCAGTACTTCCAGAACTATCACCAAGAACTGAGAATTTTTGTCCCTAGTAACTCAGAGGGACACCTGCAAGTTTACCTTTATTCTTATTAGCATCCGTGTACGAGAAGCCCTCAGCTTGCCCAGTCTTGCGTCCGAACAGGCCATTCAGGTTGGGTCCAGTCTTGTGCTTGCCTCCTTTTTCAACTGTATGGCACTGGGAACATTTCTGGACAAAGATCTTCTTGCCCTTCTCAATATCTCCCATTTTTCAGTACTAGGCCAAGAACACACACACAGAGGTCAGTATCACAATTTCAAGGTCACCTATTCACAGCATCCTGTTGGTTTAAAAGACTGTATATACGGCACATCAGTCTAGTAATTGTCCAGCGCTTTCTGTTCACAAGCTATAGCTCCCGGGTTTGAAGATTAGCACAGAATCACCATATAAAAGGCAGCAAAGCGATGAGTATGCCTGAAGAGCTGGAACAACCTTCCCTCAGCCAAAGTAATTGCCCCACAGCATTTAAGCAGTATGGAGATAATTGCCAAGAGTAAATTGACCACGACTTCCATATACAGCTTGTGTACCTGTAATAGGAAAGTTTCCTTGTTATGAATAACCTTGTGTAAAGGGACAGGGCTGTTTGCGTGTTTTTCCGTTTCAGCTGGACAAGCTCACCACCTGGTGAGGCGCCGAGGGCGGCAGGCACTGAGCCGGTCCGCTCTCCTCCTGCCAACGGCCGCGATGCCTCCCAAGCACCCGCCAACAGCAACGCTATTTGCATTGTGGCAAGAACACCCAAGGGCAACCGCACCTCCCGACTCCAGCTCTTCCTCTGCCGAGGCCGGTCCCGAGCCGAGGTGCAGGCTTCCGGTGCTGGGGTTTCCTCCAGGCAACCGGTGCGACCCTCGCTCTCCCCACAGCGGCGGCAGGCGCCCTCACCCCGCAAGGGTGCGCAGGCCAGGCCGCGCCATTCCCAACCTCAAGCGGCCACCAGCAGAGCCGGGGGAGGCCGGGTCCCCCTCACTCCTCCGGTCCCACTAGGCCCCGCGGTGACCTTCCGCCGCACCCCGGCCGCTTCCTTAGGCCGCTGCCCCTGGCTCCCTCGCCCCGGCCCAGGGAGGCGGGAATCGCGCTCTCAGAACATGCGAGAGTGCCTCCTGCCCGCCATCCCCTCTGCACC